CTATTATTATTATTATTTTTATTTTTACTAAAATGCTGAAGTGGTAGGTAGATGCAAGATAAAGGTAGAAAACATAGTTTAGTGCTGTAAGAAGGCAAATGTAGATGATCAGATGATCAGGTGTGTGCCTATGGACTAAGTATTAATCCAGGCTAGACAAGGGCAGCAAGACATCCACGGATGCAGAAGATTTCTCTCAAAGCAGGGGGGGTGAGGTTCTGAGCCTCACCTCTGTTGATCCCCAAATTCTCACCTGATGGCCCCCCTGCGACTGTGCCTGTCTTAGGTTGTTCCTCCCTTGAGGAATCTTAGAATTGGTTATTATTTTTAATGAATTAGTTTTTAGATTTCATTTTAATTCCTAATACAGTAAATACTGACAGCTATAGGCCACATAACAAAAGCTTATTTTTGGTCCTCACTCATTTAAAAGTGTTAAGGGTTCTAAGAACAAAAAGTGGGAAAGACACTTCTGTGAAGCAACTGCTCTGTGACTGAATGGGACTAGTCCTTATATCAGTAACTCTGAAATCTACTTCCCTATCTATCTACCATAGTACTATTTCTACCTTAAAAAATATCATAGGTTATTACTTAAGTGATCTCGAGTATCCTTTTTATGTATTCCATAACTACTTTAAGATATACACTGGGTTCTCTATAGTTTCTAAGATAAATATTCAAACCCCCTAAACCACTCTTCATTGGCTACATTTCTCATCACACCACTACTACCACTCCCTAAATCCAATCTGGCCACAGTTTGCAGACTCATTTACCAATGTCTTTTCTTCTCAGCGCCCAGCACAGCCTCTGAAAAAAACAGGTGCTTCCTTGAATCCATAAAGTATGTCTCTTAAAAGGTAGCACCAAGAAGCAAACATATAGCTGCAGATAAATGGCTTTCAAACTGTGGGACTCGATTCATTAGTAATATCATCAGATACAGGTCATGATTGGCATTTTTCAAAATGACACAGAATAAAGAAAATAGCCTTGCTATATGCTGGGCACACCCAGAAAGACTGACATAAGAAATTTCTTTGAAATTATGTGACTCATGATTTTAAACATTTTTGTTACTATGCAGTATAGTCAAAAACTTTTAAAACCATTGCTCCACATCACACTTCAACAGGTCCCCTGTCCACCCCCACAGTGAGCACATTTATGATAACATGTAATTGGCTATTATTTTAAATGTATTAGTTTTCAAGTTTCTCTGTTTTAAATATCAATATCTATATAGCCCACATAACAAAAGCTCTTTGGGGTCCTCAATAGTTGATTTCTATTAGTATATTCCTTTCTATTAATTGATCGAGCATACAACAAAAGAATTCTATCACCTACTACCAAAGGAAAACATGGTTCTTTGGCTGAGTAGAGTAGCTTCTACACACATTACCTTTATGACCTTGAGCAGTTTTTCATTCACTGGGCAAGGGTTGTAAACGTGTTGCCCTAGCCCAAATTTAGCTCTACATCTTTAATTCTGCTAGGTCTTTAAAAATTTTTATTTTATAAATGAACGTGAATGCCTTTAAGCAGGATACACATGCTCCAAAATGGCACAGCTCCCACATGCCCCAATTTTTTATATTACATCCCCACCATTTCACAGTTATCTGCCTGGCCCTAAGGAAACTGCAGTTTGCAACAGTGGATGAAATAACCTGTCAAACAACTAAAGACAAGAAATATATGTAACTGTCTGTCATCGTACTGACTGACGGCCCTAGTGAACAAAAAATACCTGGGAGTGTGTGTTGCCCAGACACCAGAGTAAGCAGCTTCTCTTGTTCTTCCATGAGCCTTTGTAGTTGCTCTGACTGTTGCCTCTTCAGTTGTTCCTGTTTCTTCTGCTGTACTTCTTTCAGCTTTTTAAACATAAAATTAACTTTATTAAACTAACTTTACATTTCTTTCTGGACTTCTGTTCCTTACATTTATCTTAACCCCTCCAATTTCCTTCTCATATCTTCCCAAATAGTTTCAAAGAGGGATCCTTAGGTAACTACATCTGCCACCAAAACTCTAAAATCAAATTTGTTTGAAGGAAACCATATCAACTATCTCAACTAAGAAAACAGAAAATGTCATATAAATCCTTTGATTCTTAAAATAGGACAGTTATCAGTATATTTATGATCAACCTTCCCCCTATAATCTCTGATCAACCATTTCTAATTTAGCTTTTACCAAATGAGTAGAAACTTAAAGATATTATCTTAAGTGTTACATTTATGTCTTACATACTAAAGATGTTTCAATGTTTCGCATTAAACAAAAGGCAAAATCCGGCATTTTGGGAATTTTGTAGTAAAGGGGAAAAAACGAGGACCTGAAACAGGTGACTCTTCATCACAAACATAAACCTACAATGACATAAATGCCTAACAGACCAGTCCTATTGTACCTGTTCAAGCTTTTTAAAAAGTGGGTCTTTATAATCCACGTCCTTGAATTCACTCCCATTATCTGAGATAAAGTCACTTTTGTTATCTTCCCAGTGTCCAGGAGCATCCTGACATGCCACGATCTGTGGTCTCTCTTTAGTTAAAGGAAAGACTGTAGGTATTTCAGATTCATCTGACTGTAGTTTGTAAGAGCTGTCAGACTCCAACTTCTGTCCATCATGAAGTGAATCTTCTTCACTTATAAAGCTGAAGCTATTTGAAAAATGTGGGGCTTTAAGAGGAAAGCTAGTAGGAATGGTCACATTTACTCGCTTCTCATCGTGTGCTTCCGAAAGAGGAAGTGCACGATTTAATATGACCCCAGCCCGAGAAGGATTGGTCATCCACTGAGTTAAGAAGTTCTGCTCAATGTTTAACTCTGAAGAGGTTGGCATCAGGAACATTTTAGTCCAATGACACTACTGTATTTAAATGATGTAAAAACTAGAAGAGCTATTAATTTCCAACACCTGTAGAAAGAAGACAGCCAACAAAAAGTTAAAACTGTTTTAGCCAAACCTTGACCCAGCACAAAAATCTACAGAATATTTCATATACACTTAACTAGCAAAGCAATTGGGCATTAAGTTTGTTAAAGTCTTAAAAATATAACTGAGTTGGATCAAAAACTTAAGTTCCCTTTGATATAATCATTCAATTACCAATGATTTTATACAAGTGCTAGATCAGTTCATCCAAAACTATGGAACTAAAGCACCTTCTAAGTTATTTCATTACCAAAGGAAAAAAGGCCACCATCAGTATCAAACATCACCCACATTAAGCACTTCATGCTGCTGGACCTAGTCCAACATTGCTTCTTTGCCCAACTGGGGAACTGAAACGAAAAAGGAATAGTCACAACAGATGCTAAAGAAATACAAAGAATTAAAAAATCCTATGAAAAATTATGTACCAATAAATTGGACAATGTAGAAGAAATGGACAACTTCCTAGAAAAACATAACCATCCAAGGAAAAGACAGAAAAATCTGAACAGACCAATTACTAGTAATGAAATTGAATTGGTGATCAAAAACTCCCAATGAACAAAAGTACAGGACCAAATGGCTTTACAGCTGAATTATCCAAAACATTTAAAAGAGAGCTAATCCTTCTTAAAGTATTTAAAAAGGTAAAAGAGGAGGGAATACCTCCAAACTCATTCTGAGGTCAGCATCACTCTAATACCAAAACCAGAGACACTACAAAAGAGAAAATTTTAGACCACTATCCTGATGAACATAGATGCAAAAATCCTCAACAAAATATTAGAAAATAGACTTCAAAAATACATTGAGAGGATCATCCATCACAACTAAGAAGGATTTATTCCAGGGATACAGGATGGTAAAATATTCATAAATCAATCAACACAATACAGCACATTAACAAAAAGGATAAAACCATGATCAATCATCTCAACAGATGCTAAAAAAGCATTTGACAAAATTCAACAACCATTCATGATAAAAACTCTCACTGTGCCTCAACATAATAAAGGCCATATATGACAAACCAACAGCTAACAACTTACTCAATGGGGAAGAGCTGAAAGGTTTTCCTCTAAGATCAAAAACAAGACAAGGATGTCCATTCTTACCACTTTTATTCAACACACTACTGGAGGTCTTACAACGGCAATCAGACAACACAAGATTAAAGGTATCCAAATTGGTATGGAAGAAGTTAAATTCTCACTATTTGCAGATGATATGATACTAAACATAGAAAAACCCTAAACTCTAAAAACCTATTAGAATGAATAACTAAAAAGCTATTAAAATGAATAACTAGATTCAGGATACAAAAATACACAGAAATCTGTCGCATTCCTATATACTAACAGTGTACTAGCAGAAAGAGAAATCAGGAAAACAATTGAATTTACAGTTGTACCAAAAACAACAAAACCAAGGAATAAACCTAACCAAGTAGGTGAAAGATCTTTACTCTGAAAAATATAAGACACTAATGAGAGAAATTAAATTAGACACCAATAAATGGAAATGTATCCCATGCTCATGGATAGGAAGAATTTATATTGTCAAAATGGCCATCCCACCCAGAGCAATTTACAGAGTCAATGCAATCCCTATCAAAATACCAACAGCATTCTTGAATTACCTAGAACAAACAGTTCTAAAATTCATATGGAACCACAAAAGACCCCAAAGAACCAAAGTAATCCTGAGAAAGAAGAACAATGCTGGGAATATTAGACTCCCTGACTTCAAGCTACACTACAATGCTACAGTAATCAAAAGAGTATGGTACTAGCATAAGAACAGACACATAGATCAATAGAACAGAATAAAGAGCCCAGATATAAACCCACACATATATGGTCAATTCATATACTACATAGGAGCCACAAATATACACTGGGGAAAAGACAGCCTCTTCAATAAATGGTGTTGGGAAATCTGGACGACTACTTGCAAGATAATGAAACTGGTTTACTGCCTAACTCCATACACAAAAGTAAATTCAAAATGGATCAAAGACCTAAATGTAAGCCATGAAACCATAAAACTCATAGAAGAAAACATAGGCAAAAATCTCTTCAACATTAAGTATAAGCAATTTTTTCCTGGACACATCTCGGGCAAGAGAAACAAAATAAATAAAAAATGAACAAGTGGTTCTACATCAAACTGAAAAGCCTCTGTGCAGTAAAGGACACCATCTGCAGAACAAAAAGGCAACTTACAGTATGGGAGAATATATTCATAAACGTTTTATCAGATAAGGGGTAACATCCAAAATATATAAAGAACTCATATGCCTTAAAACTAAAAAAAGCAAATGGGCAGAGGCATTTTTCAAAAAAAAAGACATACAAATGGAAAACAGGCACATGAAAAGATGCTCCACATAATCACCAAAGAAATGCAAATCAAAACCACAATGAGATACCCCCTCACACCAGTCAGAAGGGCCACTATTCAAAAAATAAGAAATAACAAGTGTTGGCAAGGATGTGGAGGAAAGGGAGTCCTCTTACCCTGTTGGTGGGAATGTAAATTTGTGCAGCCATTGTGGAAAGCAGTATGGAGGTTCCTCCAAAAACTAAATATAGAAATATCATACAATCCAGTAAATTCTATTTCTAGGAATTTACCTGCAGAACACAAAAGTCCTGATTCGAAAGACACAGGCACCCCTATGTTTATCGCCACCTTACTTACAATAGCCAAGATATGGAAGCAACCTAAGTGTCCGTCAATAGATGAATGAATAAAGACGATGTGGTAATATATACAATGGAATATTACTCAGCCATTAAAAAATGAAATCCTGCAATTTGCAACATGGATGGACCTAGAGGGTATCATGCTAAGTGAAATAAGCCAGGTGGAGGGTACTATGCTAAGAGAAATAAGCCATGTGGAGACAAATACCATATGATTTCACTTGTCTGTGAACTATGAAAACAAAACAACAAAATAGCAGTAGACTCACAGACACTGAAAATGAACTAGTGGCTACCATTGCAAAAGGGATGGGGTGGAAGGGTGGGGAGGCTGTGGTGGATAAGGGGCACAAAAATTCTCAATCATAATATAAGTCAGTCACTGGGCACAGTAGTGCAGCATGGAGAATACTGTCAATGATTCTGTAATATCTTACTATGTTGACAGTAACTACACTAGTGGCAGTGAGGATTTAACAATATGGGTTAACTGTTAAACAACTGTGTTGTATACTTGAAACCAATATGACTGTATATCAACCATACTTCTATGTAAGAAATGGAGGGAAAATAGAGAAGAGTAAAAAATTGCGAAAACCTTTTAAAAAAATCAGTTTAAGGAAAAGAAAAATTCTCTCCCTAGTGACGGGGAAAGTGGATACAAATAGCTAATTCAGAGCCACCATCAAACCCTGAGAAGTAACCAGTTGGCTTAGGAGGTATTAATTAGTACCCAAAATACACTTCCTTCAGAGCGGGAATCCACAGCAAAGCTTTACAAGACCAGCACTTGACAAGGGCGGAGGCCGACCCTTAGGGATGCAGAAGCTACGCCACTTTACGCTCGCCCCCAGATGACCGCCTCCCCTGCGCTTCCCAACAACAGCTTAAAGTACAGCCAAAACTCAAGCAGGGAGACGCCCCGACCTGAAGGCTCCCCACGAAAGGGAATCCAACCGGGGCAGCCGCCGAGCCGGAGTAGACACTGCCGCCCGCTCCCTCCGCGCCCCGGCGGCCCCTCTGCGCACCGCGGCGTGCACACCAGCTCTTCTGCTCCTCTGGCCCACCATTTACCGCTCCGCCACCCGAGCCTCTGAACCCACTCCCGCCGGCCCTCGCCTTGCCGCCGCGCTTATGAATGAGCCGCTACAACCACCACTCTGGCCGGAGCCCCGCCCCCACCCGCTCCGCTGCTCCGAGGGCTCCTGGGAAGTGTAGTTCCCGCCTGCCTCCTCTGCGCTTCCCGCGGGCACTGCAGGACCCACTCAAACTACCAGCCCCAGCGCCGTCACGACGTGCGACGTTGCCGCGGAGCTTCAGCCCCGCGCTTCCTGCCCGGGCCGCCAGAGGGGACGCGGAAATAGCTCAGAGTGAACTCCCGCGAAAGGCCGTATCCAGCCCCACCTGAACAACCCAGGAGGGGCGCGCCTTCTGTAGGGCCGCGCGACGCGGCCGAGACTGCGCGCTCACCGTGGCTGCGCCAGCTGCCGAATCCGCCGCTCTGCATGTGGTAGGGGCGTGTTTGCCTTATGGTCGGGCTGTTTGGTCGGTTTTCTTTCTTTTTGGTCTGTTTTCCACCTTCGCTGGATGAGACTTGGTAAAGGAAAAACAGGTTTAGTGAGCCTCACAATGCCGTGAGCAGTGGTAACCGCGCGAGAATTCCGTCCAGAATAACCGTCGCTCATCTTTTCCTCGGCTAATGCGTGTTTTGGCAGGGTATACCCATTAGACATTAAACTGTTTATTTTGCGCACCGAAACTGAAAAATTCAACACCCGTTTCCTTAATTTCCTCCGCGGAGCACTGCAAGTTACCATACATACCCAGGCTTCGCGTCTAATTAAATAATAGTAATGAAATAGATTTAATAAAATTAATTAGTGATAATAAAATTAATTGAATTTAATAATAACTACTTAGCTAAATAACCAAGTAAAAACTTTTTAAGATGCGAAATTGAGCGCCATTTTTAAGAGCCGGTTTAATAAGCTGAAACAAATTACCACTAGTCAAAGAGAATTAAAAAACACCGTCACAGAAATTTGGCCCTCCAAAATTGCTTTGCTGTCTACTTCAAAAATTAGTCCTTCCCTGAATCAAGGTTTGGAATTTGCTTCTTTTGTCTTTTTTAAAATGTTCCTTACGAATGAAGAAACCAAAGCCCAAGACTTCGAAAGGCACACAAGGGTTGTGAGGAGGACCTTCCAACTTCTGTTCTGCCGGGCAATGAAAGATTCAGCTTCATCATCTATCATTGTTGCATCTTCAAGTATACAAGAGAAAAATTAAACTAACAGCTCCTATACAGAGGTTTTAACCACAAATAATTCCCATTCTGATACAGTCCTTTAAGTCATCGCAGGATACAGGAGGGCGCTATAATGTAATGGCTTAGAGCCCGTGCTTTGGAGTCAGGCCGGCCTGGGATCCAATTCTATCTGAAGATTTACAGAGGGCCTCATAGCTTTAGCACTCAACATCTCAGAAATTCAATCTTCTCATCTGCAAAATGGGAATAACAGTAATATCTACCTCATAGACTTGTCAAGAAAATTAAAAGGAAGAATATATGTAAAAACTTAGTGTAACACCTACCATGTAGTAAATCTTCAACAAGCAGGAGTTGTTGTCATTTTTTAAATCATTTTATTAAGGTATGATTGACATACAAAAGACTACACATGTGTAATATATATAACTTGATGAGTTTAGAGGTAAGTGTTCACGCATGAAACTGTTGGGAACGCTGTGTATTTTCCTCGGTTCTTGTCCCCACCGCAACAAAGAATTGAAGGGCAGAAACACAGTGGTGAAGCAGAGTAAAAGTTTTATTTAAAAAGTTACTTAAAGAGAGAAGTGCAGCAGGCGACCTCAGGGAGGAGAGGTGCTTTGAAAGGTTTAAGTTTTATTGAAAGAGAGAAAGTCTGCATGCTTATAAAGTGCCGGCGACCTCAGAG